AACTCTCAACCTCACTCTATTTCTCTCTTTTTAGTGCTGCAATGGCAGCCCACTCTCTCCTACATTTCTCATATCTTTGGCTCTTTTCTTTTTCTTTTTCATTTTGCTCTCTAACATATGCCTCTATTTATAGGCATTCATGGAGGCTATTCTTGGTTTGTTGTCAACATTTGTGGCTACCAACTCTAGCTCATTCAATAATGGTGGCTACCAATAATCAATGATTGATGCCATTCATTTGTTGCACATAAAATGGCAACTAACCTAACACAGGGTAGTGCTTTTCTGCTCTTCGCATTAGCATCTCCAAGTTTTGGTGTACGAGTCATCGACAGCTGGTTGCTTATGACATTTCAGCGACAATGATCAGTAATGTGAAGCAGCCTATTGCGAATGCTTCTCTTCTTGAGGCAAACCCGTTGAATTATGGTGCCGGGCACATCTGGCCTAGCCTTGCAATGGACCCAGGCCTCGTCTATGACCTAACGGCCGAAGATTACGTGAATTTTCTATGCTCCATTGGCTATAATATAACCTAGTTGTCACTTTTTTTTGGTAACCCATACATATGCCAGCCGCACAACAATGGTCTGCTGGATTTCAACTATCCATCCATTAGTGCCCCGAATCTCTCTTGCTGGATTTCAACTATCCATCCATTAGTGTCCCGAATCTCTCAAGCAATACCACATTGTCCCGAACCTTGAAGAACATGGGGACTCCAAGCTTGTATAGAGTTAATATCAGGGCACCTGGAGGCATATCTGTGAATGTTGAGCCAAGAAGCTTGAAGTTCGATAAGATAAACAAAGAGAAAATGTTCAAGGTCGCTCTAGAGGTCAAGAAAGGTTTTAAGAGCAATGACTATGTGTTTGGAGAGATAACTTGGTCTGATGGGAAGCACCATGTGAGGAGTCCTGTTGTGGTGAAGAAGATGGTAGTAGCAGCCTCAGGTTGAAGGACAATGACCAGGCGTATGGATTTGGAGTTGGAAGGCCAGCGTGTAGAGATCTATCTCCATGGTCAACAAATCCATCTTCAAATTCCCGTTCTATGTCATGACAAAATTGAAAGGCTTGAGGCTTTCATAATCGTAAGAATAAATTGATCAAAATAAAGGGTCAGTGATAGTAACAAAATCACAAAGTCTCTTTGTATGACTTGCAAGTCAAAAGTGGCTCTCAAAAACAACGCTTCCACCTCCATCACAATGCACGACCTGGTCTAAATTATCCCATCTCCAAACCAAACTCGTAAGTGTAGCCTTTTATTGTTAAAAACATCCATCAACGCAATTCTTCAATTAAAGCATGAATGTTCTATTATTTAACTTCTTTTTTTATTTATAAAGAAGAATTTTGGGTCCAAGACCTCTTATAATATACATAAATGGGACTTGAGGCACAAAATAAATTTAGTGTCTAGATGGAAAAGCAGATAAAGAAGAAACAAGAAATTCGATTAATGTCTCAATCGAAGGCTCAATCATGCATGCACTATAGGGTGAGGGGCCAGAGCCAAGCAAGAGATTCCACATGGAGGAATCGTTGGGCTAATTACAGTGACAATAATGTCAAGTGTTCTTTTTTTTTTTTTTTGACTTTTGGGACATCTTCTTGGCTTCTAGTTCTAGATTTAGTTTGGTTGGCTAATCGAGACATGGATCTATGTAGTGGTAGTAAAACAAGAAGAGAGAAAGTGTGAGGGACCCCAAGAAAACAATTAATAAAAACCAAGGACGAATCTTTTTTAAACCAAAGCTTCTAGGCAATTTCTTCTTTCGTAATCTCCATCATTCTCCTTTGGGGAAGCTTGATAGTAGAAAACAAGCAAAGCAGAGCAAGCTAGTTGGGGTGTGGACTTTGGTTGTTCAGTGGAAGTGGAGGAGATGACTTGACCTGACAGGCCGACACCCAACATCCAACACCCAACACTGATGCTAGGAGGTTTTTTATTCAATTTTTGTTGTAATTTGTGGATCAAAGAAAGGGTATTATTAAGAATTACTAATATAGATGGTGTTTTAAAGTTTAATAATAATTATTTTTTTAAAATTGTATCATAATAATATTTTTATGATAATTTAAAAATTATTTTTAATATTAAAGAAAAATTATTGCATTTTTAAAATATAAAAACCAACATACCAATAGTATACTCTTTTGTAACTCTAAATTGAAAATAAAGCTGCTTGTCTCAATTTCCGTACCCATATTCTCGAAACACGTTAAATCTTATGTTTTTTTCTTGTTTTCTATATAATAGCTGCAGGATTCATAGCAAATTTCCATAGTGTTTCGTTCTTTTCTTTTAAAGAACCATTCTTTTTGTTTGAAATTAAGAATTTGCAACAAACCCAGTAGAGTTTTGGAGAATTTGAAACAAACCCTTCTTAGTTTTGGTGAATCTGAGATAAACCCCGTTTTTCCTTTTTGTACCTTTTGATGCCATGCATGTTTATTAAAGGCAAGAACTGGAGAATCTGTGGCAGACCCATGTCACTTTCCAGGCTTGGATCTGCTTACTTTGATTGAATTGATTGGAGAAAGATGGATTCTTTTGGGTTTTCAAGGGTGAGGCAATGTTTCTTTTAGCTTCTATTGTTAAATCAGCTGGTTGTTGATTTGTTTGGTCCTAACTGTGTTTATAGAATATGTAGTATTCAGTGAATTGTGCTGTTTATGCTAATAGAGACATAATAAAATTTTGAATTGCTTGATAAAGCCATAAATAATCAGGTGAAGTGGTGTGATGCCTGAATTTTGTGGTTCAAGCCTGCTTCTTGGGCTTCCTGATGATGTGTTTGCCATCATATCACGGTCCCTTTCTCCAAGGGACATGTGTATTTTAAGTATTTGCTGCCGAAGCTTATATGATATTGTGGCATCCGAGAAAGTTTGGCGCACCCAATGTGACATGGTAGGAATTATCTCTCATCAGGATGTTATGGAGTGGCGGAAGGGTGTATCATCTTATAGGGCGTTGTGTCGCTTCCTTGTTAGTGTTAAGCCATTAATTGGAATTTGGGTTCACCAAAATCCCGAGCTTGGTAATGTAGTGTATGTCATGCCTGGTTTTGTATCTGTCGTTGGATGCCGGATTTTACCACAGGAGTTGGGCCCGTTAGGAATCGAGGAAGGTCCTATTTTATGGGCACCGGTTTTTGAAATAATAGGTGACCTTGATGGTTCTACCTCGTTTTTCCTACATGGGGGAGAGAAAGGGAATGACCATGTTTATCCTGGTTCAGTCAAGTCTGTAGGGAGCAAATGCAATGTCCTGTTGCTTGAGGTTGAGCCTAGGCAACAGAAGGGTCAATTATTCCCAAATAAAAGCTTTGCTTATAACTCAGATAAGGAGCTAGCAAGAAAGCTTTCTAGATCTCATAATGGACTGTCGTGGTCACAGAGGTTGATTATACAATGTGAGGCCAAGGTGCCCTTTAACCGCTTGTCTTTTAGTGACAGAAGAAAGTTGATTGAGGTTGTCACAAGCCAAGTTGGTCAAAAGGTACCCGATTTGGAAAACAGGCTGCTGTTTCCTCGGTTGAGGAATGATGAAGAGAATTTTCAGAAAGATATAGCACTCCTATTTGAACGGAGATCATTTCTTTTGAAAATTTGTAAGCTTGGTCAAGGCTTTAATTGGAAGGAAGCACCTGAAGTGCCTTCTGATCCTACGCAACTGCAATGGAGTGAGATTAGAAAGAGTCTTGATCGGTCAAGTGGGTCTCTGAATGAGGATGATAATCAGATGCAATCCAACACGAAGAAAACCCTCGGTGGGTATCTCAGAGCATACATCAGACAGATTTTGGGGAAGTCCCCCTCCGTAAATGGTAGCCACGGACATTCAAAGCACAGTTCTTCAAGCAGAGAGAGTAAACATGCACAGCTGCATGAGTTTTTGAGGTCAGGGGACACAATAGGGTTGACTTTACATGCCTCTAAGATGAGATTATCTTCTTATCGAGCATGGCCGAATATCCATGACAGTCAGTTTGCCCTATACAAATTACCCATGCGAGTTCCAAGAGCTGATCAAGAATATGCTGGTTTATGGGGAGGGACTTTTGGTTGGCCTCCCGGGAAGCCCACTGAAGACAAGCCTGGAAAAGCTCTGTTCTTTCTTTTGATCACTTACGAGGAGTCTGAGGGACACAGAAATCTCATTGCTACCAAGATATTAGAAGGCACCCACTATGTTCTGCATCCAAATGGCTCAGCAATGTTCGTTGTTAATATTGATGAGCCTTCACAGGATCCATTTCCTTGGGATGTTGATGCAAATTCCTTTCCTTTGACCATTAAGCATGCATTTGCAGGGGAGGGTATAGCGAATGGGTATGGTTTCAGATATCCAGGCTCAAAGCCTGGTTCCCTCTTTGTAATTCAAAATGGTCTTCTTGCCTTTGTTTGGAAGGAGTCGAGAGCTGTCTTGAACATGCAGAGACTGAACTTACAAGAACTTTTGAAGAAAGGTGAACGGGTGCCTGCTTTACCTCCTAGTGACAACTTTTCATATTTGACCAAGTCCTACTCAAATGTCTTTGCTGGCTTCTCAACTGCCTCAACTTGTTTGCCTTCACCAAGGTAGTTCTTCTTTATTGGATGCTTATTTTCATTTTCTTTTGTTTTCTGGTAAATAAATATCAAATTGTTATTTTGCAGTTTTACTTTACTTTATCTCAACTTGATGGTTCGTGTCATCATGTCATTATCTTTTACTGTTCCAGTTGTTCCTGAGCAATCAACCAATTTATTTTTAATTGCTCCTTCTCCGTAAGTCATGTGGATATCTTTTAAAAACATTTTGGATATTGTGTGAAAGTCACTAAAAAAGTGAGAAGGAATGGACAACTGAGGTGGCTAAAGGAATTAGCTTTGAGATGTAATATGATGGTTTCCACCATGTTCTGTTTCTGAATATAATGAGAACTTATTGTTTGATGGCTGATTAACCAAAATCAGGTTCTAGGATTTACTTCAGAGCACAGTGTTCATGTTTCTAACTTTGTCAATGAGGCATGCTTCCTGGCATAATTGTGCATCCTATTGTTGATCTTAATTTCCGTGATTCTTGTATGGATACGATGTGCTGATGAAGCTCTTCAAGTGGGCTAGCCAATTGTTTAGCAACTTTGTAATCACACTTTTTTTATGTATTTCCAAAATCATCATCATGCCATCACAGTAGGGAAGCCGGAAAATTGAGCCAAGCCTTCTCTATGTGACCTTAGTTTGAGTTTGAAAAGATATAGTTCTTTTTATTATTTCACTTAATTGAAGATGCTATTCTCTTATTCAAAACTATAATGCCATTATGCATGATTCAGAAAGTAGGCTACTAGGTGAAAGGAGATTTTACTTCCCTTTTCCGCTCTATTTTGACTGCCACTGTTTCTTCATGCTTTTAGAAGACCAGACAAGATGAAACATACAGTCTTTGGCCTGTTACATACTATATTTCATTTCCACAGTTGATCTCTTTTCATAATTTAGTATGGTGCTCAATCACTCCTTGTTCACTGTTGTAACTTGCACGAGTCATTCCGTTGGAATCTGGATCATTGTCATATGCTTTTATGCTCGAGCTTGGACTGTACAACTTTCAAGTTCAGAAGTAGCCACATGTTTGATGCTCTTCAGTTTCTTGTGTATGCTGCATCAGTCTTTCTGTGCAAGGCAAGGGATAAAAAATGATTCTAGGAAACTCGCCTCAGGCTTTGTATTCAAGGCAAGGTTTAAGAAATGAGTCTCTGTTGAGTTAACCTCTTGTACTTTACTTTCCCTACACACTGAATTGATTCCAAAATATTCATTCTGGGAAACTAATCTAGAGTACTGGTTTTGGTAAAGTGTTAGGCGAAGTTAAGTCTAATAATGATGTGCTATCTGATAAGAGAGCATTCAATCAAAGCTTCTCAGATGTGTTTCCATGTTTCTCTTTGACAGGCAAAAACATTTATAGGCACTGAAAGCAAAGTCCATAAGCCGAAGGGTTACTACAAATTCATAAAAGCTGAAGTGTCCTTGGTTGCTGCAGCTGGCGGTTCGAATTCCTTTTCCACAGGCAACAAGCTGTTGTTCATTGATGATGAAATTGCTCTTCAATGTTCCATGCTTCCACGATACCCTCCTCTTGGATTATAAAGGTTAAGGTGATTCTTGTGTATCCTGAATAAAGACAAGCATTGAATAAGATTATATTATTTTTATGATAATAAGCATAAGGTATAAGCTTCTAAAATTATAAGTAGATAATGAGGTGTATTAATTTATGATTGGTAGAAGGATGAGAGATTGAACAAACTACTTTGCTAAATGCATTTGGATGGTATAATTGGGAATGAAAATGTCCCCTTTTTAGTGTTTTTTCTTTCTTTTTTTAAATTTTATTCTATCTGCGTTGCATGCATTGTAATTATTTCCATCTCCTCCAAACTGCCTTCTCTGATTCCAGGGACCTGCTGTTGCGTTGTTGTTCTTGCATGAATGACTTGCAGCAAAGTTTTTTAAACAACTGAATATGGAGTAAATCAAAGTTTAGGCCCTGTGTTCTTATGATTATGGAAGTTAAAGAGTCCTGGTTTTGGAAATCATAAGTTAGTCCCTTGACTAAAATTGACTCTTTTTTTTGTTAATATGTAAATTACCATTTTTAAATGCATTTATAATTGTCCATGGTGGGTGAAACTGGAAATTTGATTAGAAGTTAAGGACTTGGTAGAAAAGAAACGATTAAATTGTCATAAAAAACAACAGAGAATCGAGATTAAATTTCATTTTTAGAGCGATCTTATTCAATAGTAAAGCATGTTTGTGAACTAATATGGGCATCAACTGAGATCAAATTCCATTTAGAAACAATATTAAGGTCCAAAGTTCAAATCCAAATTGCCTTGGGTACAAATTGCTATAATTAGCCAACTAAAATGACAACAAATGTTTCATGTGTTAAAAAGAATCAACAAACCGAAAGAAATTTTAAGAGTAAAATTATAGGAGCAAAAATTTTTTAAAAATCAATTAAATTAAAAAAACCAAAAAAAAAACCAAATTAATTTATTAAAAAACCCATAAAAATTTTTGGTTCTATCAGTTCTTTAACAATATAAATTGAATTAAATTTTAGTTTAATTTTAGTTTTGAATTTAAAAAAAAAACTAATTTGATTTTTTTAAGTAAAAATCAAACCAAAAACCATCATCCCCGGGCAATTATATTATGTTGAAATACTTTATTATTAAATACATTGGTTTCAAAACACTTTCAATGTTGAAATACTTTATTATTAAATACATTGGCTTCAAAACACTTTCAATAAATAACAATTAAAATAACATACTTAAATATAACTTGCAATAGATTTGAAGGACTAATTTGCACCTATTACAAATAGAAGTACCCAATATAGAATATGCGGATTCCAGTTGTCGGTTCGCTAATAAAAAATGGAAAATAATATATATAAAAACAACAAGGCTGTTGCGTCTTGCGTTAATGGAAAATAATATATATAAAAACAACAACAAGGCTGTTGCGTCTTGCGTCTTGCGTTTCCCCTTCTCACCATCCTTCCACTTTCAAAAACGACGCGAACCTCCGCCATGAGCACCACCGCAACAACCGTAAGAACCGCCGCTGCAATGAGACCACCACCGCCTGCCTCTGCAACCACAACCATCCTAGAAAACCCCACCCAACAACAACCACAAACCCTAACTTTGCGATTAAATCGACCGAAAAAGAAAGTTTCGTGGAAAGAAGGCACCGTAGACAACGAGTTTATGCAAAAAAAAAGTTCCAAAATTTGCTGTATATTTCACAAGGAGAAGCCCTTCGATGAGGATGACAGCGATGACGATGACTGCAATCACGATCATCATCATCACGATCATAAATCCGACGGTGCTTGTTCTTCCTCTCAAAAAAACGGCGGTGATTGATTGCAGTTTTTGTTTGTTATTGAAATGTAGAAAAGGAGTTTTTATTTTTTTAGGCTATTGTTGTGTTGGGTTTATGAAGAAATTGAGAGATCTTAATTTTTCCTGCCCGTGGTGAAGTGGGTGGTGTGTTTGGCTATTCTCAATATGAATTTTCTTTTTAATGAATGAGAATCTTAATTTGGCTAATATAATTTCTTTGTTATTTTTGTGGGTTTTTGATAGATCTACCCCGCATTGTTCTTGATGAATGGATTTTGATACATGGAAATAGTGCTCGATGAAAATCTTCACGGAGCAATTGAGGCTCTGTTCGCCAGTAATTTACCAATTTTGTATGAGAGAACTAATAGTTTGGTTTAGCATGAATGTTAATTATAGAGGGCTGAACCCCGTTTTGCTTTGCTTCGGGGGCTTGTTAATGGTCGATTCAACCGAGTTTGGTGGTTGCTTCCGGGGAGGCATCTTGTTTTGGTATTGAAATCAAATTGTTAGAGTTATGCATATGTTGTTCATCCTGTTGATTGACTGTTGAAAACTTGCATTTTTCTGTCGAGATAGATGAAGCTATTGTCTTTAGAACGAAAGCTTGGCGCTTGCTTGCTTTTGATGGAGGTAGCATTTTGCAGTTTGTCTTGGTGCAGTCATTGGGATGTGAATAGCATATTGCTCCCAACTCCGAGCACCGTTTACTTGCAGGATATTGATGATTACAGCAGTGCAGCAATGGGGGATGGGTATGAGTTAATGTTGCATAGATTATTGAAGTCAGGAGTGAGGAGCAAATTGAGGGGGATGACACTTCCATTTCCTTTTGAAACTGGAGGTGGTGGAGGTTGTGTGGGCAGCTGGCAGGCATTGTTTTTCATTGTATTTTAGAAGTGTTTTTAAAAAAAAAATTGATTTTTTTTATTTTAAAGTAATATTTTTTTTTTTTAGATTATTTGAATGTGTCAGTATTAATAATAATTTTTTAAAAATAAAAAATATATTTTAATATATTTTAAAATAAAAAAATATTTTCAAAAATAATAGTTATCCCGCTTCAAAATAGCATTCAAATTTATTTGTAGTATTCATTTATTTAAAAAATATATTAAAATAATTTATTTAAAAAATAATTTTTTATATTAATATATCAAAATAAAATATTTAATAAACTTAAAAAATTTCTAGAATTTTTAAAAATATAATTGGGTTTTAGAGAGTGTCGTTTTTTCTTTGATTACCTTTTCAGTCCCTTTTGTTTTTATAATTTAATTTTAGGTCCATAACTTCATTATGTTTATTTTTTGATCCCTAGTTTGAGAGAGAGAACTTCTGGAAAACAGGTTAAGAGAGACAAAGTTGTCTCCTGGGACTGTTTACAATAACAAAAAAGAGTTAATATTAATATCAATAAGTTCCATTTAATCATAGAGATATGGTTCGGTTTTTTTTTAATTAATTGATTTTTATTTTTCTAGGTGACTTGGGGGTGTTTTCTGGTTGTTAGATCAATGGTTTAAAGAGATTTTTATGGAGATTATTAGGTGTTTTCTAAATGAAAATGGGTTTAAACGATATTTCAGCACAAAATCCACAGCCCTCGATTTTAATATTATCATAATGTTATTTTCTAAACCAAATACCAAGTTGATGATTTGAGAGGTACTGGTAAACCAATATATATGATCTTTTTCGTAGGAAACCACCAGGGTTTTTTTTATTTATTTAAGTAGTGATATATATATATATATCAGTCTACTTAAAAAAAAAAACACTTGTGACTATTGGACGGAAAAACATCTCGAGTAACCTGATCTTTAGTAGCAGCGATGATTCTTGGAAGAGAGGTCAACTTGCCCTTCCTTAAATCACAAGTTCTCTGATTAAAGCTAAAATATTTTCTTTGTTTTCGCACATTAGAGGGTTGCTGTCACCTTTTCTTTTCTCTGAATATGATTAATTTATAGGGTACAACAAGAAGTAGACATGCTACTTTTTTTTTAATCCCCCAAATTGCAAGTCGCTCTCTTGCACGGATTAATTAGGCCTCCTTGCTCCTTGTTTTTTGCACGCTCGAGGGTTGCTGCCACCTTCTCTTTTCCCTGAATATGATTAATCCTGCTTAATACGTAAGGAATCCCGCTTGTTTATAGGATACAACAAGAAGTAGACATGCTACTCTTGTTATAGTCCTCCAAATTGCAGGTCGCTCTCCTGAGTAATTTAATTTGGTCTCCTTGTAAACTCAGAATGCATGGCATGATATATACATCCTTCACTCGGTCATCGAAACATTAACAGGCACATATTCTATCAGACTTCACAAGATTTAACATGGCAGGTTTGTTTGACAATCAGGCAGCTATATATGTGGATGTAAGGCCACGATATCCAAGCGAATGGTTCTCAATGTTGGCTTCTCTCACCCCTGACCACTCTTTAGCTTGGGATGTTGGCACTGGCAATGGTCAGGCGGCTGTCGGTGTAAGTTCTCTGTCTCTCACTCTCTTGAGCTACAGCTAAATAAATTGAGAGACGAACAATCGTAGCTATCATTTTTAAGATTTTTATACTGACATCTGATCGTAGACAAGACCAGACATAGGATATTTCTTAAGATGCTCAAATTCTCTACTCTTGACAGACCTAATTAGTTTGATGATGATTTGGCGTGAATCAGCATGCACTTGTGCTTGACATTACTGATTTGGCGTGAATCAGCATGCACTTGTGTTTGACATTACATTGTAGTGCAAGTTTTTCTATTTAATTAGTAAGAGATGTTTTTCATTTTCAGGTCGCTGAACACTACAAGCAAGTGATAGCAACTGACATAAGTGAGGAGCAATTAAAGCATGCCATACCACATCCCCAAGTTCATTACTTGCATACCCCGTTAATGATATCTGATGATGAATTAGTTCATTTACTAGGAGGTGAGAATTCGGTTGATCTCATTACTGTGGCTTCAGCTGTGCATTGGTTTGATCTAGAAAAGTTCTATCCAATCGTCAAGCGCGTTCTTAGAAAGCCAGGAGGCATATTTGCTGTTTGGTGCTACTCCGGATTCAAGTTTAGCCCAGAAATTGATGTTCTCTTAGCGGTCCACTTTGAGAGAACCTTTCCTTTTCAAAACCCTAATTTCAAGCATGCATTAGAGTGTTACAAGACGCTTCCATTTCCTTTTGAAAGTGTAGGTGTTGGGTGTGAGGGTCAGCCGCTCGAATTGGACATGGAAAAGAAGATGTCGTTTCAGGGACTCTTGAAGTTTTTCAGGTCATTGTCAGCATTCAATACAGCCAAGGGACAAGGTGTAGATTTATTGTCTGACGAGGTTGTTCAGGAACTTGAGAGTGCATGGGGTGGGCCTGAAGTGGTTAGAACTGTTATCTATAAGACATATATGCTTGCAGGGAAAGTTAAGCTCTAATTAATTAGTGAA